AAAGGGAAACACTAGGACTATAGCTGAGGAATAGGGAATCTACCTACTGCTATCACCTGGTTGACCATCCTAATGTCTATCATAACAACTCCGCAACGGAGAAGTCAGAGCTCCTAAGGGATCATGGCAACAGGACTAAACCACAAACAAGAAACTGCAACGGTACAGAATACTGAAAATATGCATGAATGCAACAGCTAAACAAACAAGGCACAGAGGCCGCAAACCACAAAGGCAAGGGAGCTCAGCTCTACCAAATACCAACAAGCAAAGCCACGCAATAACAAACAAGCAGAAGGAGGACCACCTCAACTTCTCATGCACACAAGGTCTACTTCTAAGATGCACCTACTCAGAACTATCTAGATGAATACCTAAGTCTAATGCAACCTAACATCACACAAGTCAAACAATCCAAAGAGACTAACCCTGAGCAGGGCCTCAAACAAGCTCCTAATCTATCTCTAGACAGAACTCCATGCAAAACCCTAGGCAAAGATCTAAGCAACAAAATCTAATCAAAACCCTAAGCAGGAGGAATCAATCCCAGTCTCCAAGCTTCAGAATAAGCTTACCAGAGAAAGGAAGCTAAGCAGACAAGCTCATAGTGCTTTCCTCAGGAAAGTACCAGGAGGTTACTACTCAGGAGTCATATCCTATGCGGCTCAACAACTGTGATCAGTTTATATTCCTCCTCAGGAGAAATTAAACTCACATGAAGGCTCCGGCGTCACTGGATACTTGGGAAAGAACCTATATGCACTAAGGGAACTAAGTGAGCAGACCCATAGGACCTTCCTCAGGAAAGTACTAGGAGGCTGACACTTAGGAATCGTATCCTACGTGGCTCAACAATTGTGATCAGTTTACATTCCTCCTCAGGAGAAATTAAACTCACAAGTTGGCTCCAACATCACTGGATACTTACGAAATCCTAGATAAACTAATGGAACTAAGTGAATAGACCCATAGGACCTTCCTCAGGAAAGTACTAGGGGGTTTCCACTTAGGAATCGTATCCCATGTGGCTCAACAACATGTGATCAGTTTACATTCCTCCTCAGGAGAAATTAAACTCACAAGTCGGCTCCGGCATCATTGGATACTTACGAAAGAGGTGAGAAGAAAGAATGAAAGTCATTCATAGTGCCTTCCTCAGGAAAGTACCATAAACTCCCTTCAAACTTCAGGATCTCGAACCTCACAAACAGACAACAAGCTCCTAGACTAAGCCTCAATCCACTGCATCCTTGCAAGCTCCAACAGGACTTCAATCAGCTCCCACCTTGAGAAGAAACCCACAGGCCAACAAACTACAAGAGAAAATCTCTGAAGTTCAACCACAGTTGAACTTCAAAGTCAGAAGTCATCAAGACTTCTCCTATCTTCAGGCTCAGACAAATCTCATCAGAATATCCTACAAAAATCTATCAAAAATCTAATGGGAGACCTACATGGCTCTAGGGTAACATACTGAAAAATCAGAACAAAATTCAACACCAGATGAAAGAACTAAAATCAGCAACACAGACATATCCACAGACCAATTATTCAACATCAATAACAGTGACAAAATGCAATTAAAATGAAAATGCATGATTAAGCTAATGTTTTTATGCTATAAAATTCTACACTGAATTACGAGTCTACAGAAAAAAGAACGGAATTATTCGACTAAATCTACCATTTTTTATTAATTTTCTAATGATATGCATGCATTAAAAATATTAAAAGGAAATCAATTAATTGGAAAATATGCACAAAATAACAAACAAAAATAAAATGTCATTTTTATTTTTATTTAATTTTCTTAACATTTTCATGAAATGGCTGAAAAAAGAATTATTAAAAAAACAATTATTTCAAATTTTTATGAATTATTTACAAATATGAAAAGAGATAAAAGAAATATAAAAGGAATAAAATGGGGGGGTTCAAACAGCAGAATTCTAGTTATTTATCTACATTGGGCCCTGATTGGGGGGTGCCATCAGCAAATGGGCGCAGGGCCCAGACTTAATATCCAGAAAAACAAAAAAACTGAATTGAAACCAGAGGGGGGTGCAGCGCTAGTAGGGTTTTCAGTTGTTTCTACTACTGGGCTTACGCCCAGGGGGTGTTGAAAGTAAATAAGGCCTAAGGCCCATATCCATCATTCAGATCTCACACAGCCAGGGGGGTGAACGAGCAATTGGGATGGTGTGCGTTCAGAAGACGCGTTTGGGCTTAGCCCAATACCCCAAACCCTAATCCAATATTCACTTAGACAAAACCAATTCTTCTCCCAAATGCTCTGGCACTGTTCACTCTCTAACCCTAGCCGTTTCATCATCTTCTTCCTCTCCCTCATTCTCTGCAACTTCTCTCTAATCTCAGACACAACAACAACAAAACACCACATTATCACCATTATCCCCCTCCATCCAAGCCTCACACACAATTAAACCCTAAACGAAACCGAAACTCAACGAATCAACACAGAAGCATCATCATACAGAAGAAACACGCAACCAGAGTGAAATGACGTGTACCTGGCTGTAGCGAGAACTAGCGAAGAGTGCTTGAAGCTCGGTGGAGAAAAGGTTCTCAGAATCTCAAACGAACCTCCAAACGGCTCTCAAACAACTCTCTTCTCAAATTTCTGAGCGAAGCAAGAACGTCACTTGGAGCTTCTGGAAATCTCGCTTGAAGAGGCATGCAATTTGAAGTTTCTGAGGATCTTGACGAGGATTGTTGAAGGTTTGAGTGTCCTGGAAAAAATTGATGAAAGTTTGATGTTATTCTGGAAACAGTTGATGGAGGATTGATGTTCAATGGTGATTTCTGGAAATTAGGGGATGAAGACGATGAAGGTGTGCGAAGGATTCTGGAAATTTGGTTGAAGGTGGATGAATGTTTAGGATGATTTCTGGAAAAGTGGAGGAGGTTTCCGGCGAGGGTTAGATTTTCCGGTGCCGTTGAAGATGAAGGTGGAGGAGACGATCGGAGGAAGAAGAGGAATTTCTGGGGATTTTTGATGTTTGGGGATGACGGTGGCCGGAAGTTGTTGACGGTGACCGGCGGCGGGAAGTTACGGCTGATGCATGGCCGCCGGTGGTGTTGGCGGTGAAACTCAGGCGATGGTGTGGGGGCGCCAAGTGGCGTGCATGCGCAGAGGGAGAGAGAGAATGAGGGACACGTGGGAGAGTCTGGAAGCTCTGAGTGGCTGTGGTGGCGTGGGGATTGAGAAACGCGTGGGACCCTTGCATGGCCAACACGTGGCGCTTTTATACCACTGAAAATGCTAGAATTCTCCAGAAGGTTCTGGTGTGCGCTGGAAACATTTGGGATTTGGACTGCTTTGGATTTTTTGCTGGACTTGCTGATGAATTATTTGGACAAAAATTGAATGGGCCTCACCAAAAACGCCCCTGGGCCCACGAAAGCTGAATAAAAACTGTACAAAAAAACTGAATTAAAACAATTAAACCCAATTAACTCTAATCAATTATTAACACCTAATTAACTAATGACTAATCCTAATAAAAATCTAAAAAACAATTAAGATCTAATTAACTCTAAAAATTCAATTAACCTAATTAAACTAAAAAAAGATTAAATGTCTAATTAATTCTAAACTCCTACTAATTTTCTATTAAAATTCCAATATTATTTAAAACTAATCAAAATCTATCATTAGTAAGAAAAAAACTATATTATTTTCTATATTGTCTAAAAAACAATTAAACCCATTTAAAAATCTATACAAAATTCCTAAAAATGATTTAAAAATTCTTATAAAATCCTAAAAAGAGAATTAAACCATTAAAATATTCAAAAAAAACCTATTTAAATTCCAGAAAAATCTATAAAGCCTGTTAAAAATTCACAAAAGCCTATAAAACCCTAAAAATGCAGATGAATGCACATGACCCCCGTAAAAGCGCACACGAGACCAGATCGAATCGAACAGAGATCCCCGGGCATCAGAATATTCTCAAAATCACTGAAAAATCACCGAGGAGCGCACAATTTCCTGAAAATAAAACCCTGGTGATCTGGACTGGGTCTGCCATATCTGATAGACAAAAATCAAGCTGTAAACTCTGATATCCCCTGCTTGTGCACAAAAATCATACATCTGAGCTGTGAATATGAAATTAAACCATGAGTCAGATAGGAGAATCGGTTGATCAAATTTTAGGGTGCAACACATAACATCAAGATTATGTCGCAACAAATTATCCTTCCAATATGGTAGGTCCCAAAAAATACTTTTTTTTGTCCAATTGTGAGTATCCCCATATCCTGGAATTCTGCATGCTTTACCATTATCTGTGAATTTTAGTAGGTCACAAACACTATTTCATACTTTAGTCGATGACAGACGAGGGGGAGAAAGATTTGTTACTTTTATTCCTTTTCTAAAAGAATTCTTATTTTTTCTAAAAGCATGGTTCATAGGTAGGAATCTACGGTGACAGTCAAACCATGAACTTTTACCATTCATTTGCAAAGTAAACACTTTTGTGCGTCCCATGCAATGTGGACACCCCATTTTTTCATGTGTACCCAATTAGACAATATGCCATATGCAGGAAAGTCATTAATTGTCCACATCAAAGAAACTCGCATATTAAAAAAAATTCTGTGAGACACATCATAATTTCATTCTCCAATCCACAACCTCTTCAAATCATCAATTAAAGGTTGTAAATAAATATTTATTCCTGCTTTTGGACTCGACGGTCCTGGAATGAGGCATGTCAAAAACATGTAAGGTTTAGTCATAAACATCCAGGAGGGATATTGTACGGGGCAACAATAACTGGCCAACAAGAATAGGTAATTGCTAACGATTGGATATAAGACATAAAACCATCTGAGAATAATCTGAGCCTGACATTTTTGGGTTATGCTGCAAAATCTCTATGTACTCTATCAAAGTGTTTACATGCCTCGCCATCATATGGATGTTACATCATGCCTGAACTATTGGAATTTGTATGATTCCATGTCAT